TTGTTTCTCGAGCATAAAAATATGTCGAATAAAAGACTACCACGGCAGGGACAAACAAATTTACACTAAACATTCCACACGTTAAATCATCTCTTCAAGCAGTGATATCTAAAAAGACTGTGCTTAGCTAGGCTAAGCACATTTTGATAGTGGTGGGTCCTGGAGCAGGGCTACATCCACCTAAATTGCATCTAGTAGCAAAAATACAGTCATGTCTCACTAATATGAACTCCGGTAATATATAGGCACCTCGCAATATAGACACCGTTTTTGAGGACGAACTGGATGGACGCTTGCATTTTTGCCTCATAATTATGGACAACTCACATGGACACTTTTGGGGGGAGCAGCCGTGTCTATATTAAAAAAAACATCACTGTATTGCAAGTACTTATTTTTTTTAGAGAAAAAAAGTCTGAATGTGTTTCTAATTAAAATTAAAAACAAAAAAAATTATATTTAATTTTTTTTTAAAACACTGCAGTCGCCTGTTTCCATGGCTAAACTAGCGGAACCTCAAGAGAAATGCACAATTCCTGACTTCCCCAAGTGACAAAGGTTTGGCCACAGCAATGTTCGTAGCCCCCCCGAGTCCATAAGCCACTCGACGAAGGCTTTTTTGACATCCTCGTACATGGCATGTCATAGCCATTGTCGAGCTTTTCGCAGTCTCTATTCAAGCTCTTTGCCTTCAAGGTCTTTTCCTTCTCCTCTGAGGTGGTCAAAATGGTAGACTGGGAAAATGGCCGTCTCCGACGTGACGATCCGAAAGCGTCCAAAGGCTGCAAGCACCGACCGCCGAGATGTGGCCACGAGACTCGCAACAAAAGAACAAATGCGTTGCTTCAGCCGCACTGGGGGGCAGTTTCGGGACGTCGTGTCCAGGAAGACGAACAGTACTATAAAGGGGAAATTAATATGCATGTATGCTCCATTCCATACCTAGTGTACAATGCTGTCAAAGTTGCTGGTGCTAGCACGTGACTCCTCCTAGCATCTCATTGGTACGTTAGTATGTGCAAAGAAACTGCAAAGTGAAGCCACGCTCTCATGCCTGCCACTTTGACAGCTTTATATGCTAGGTATGAAACGGTATAGTGATTCGGTGCTAGGTGCTCACTTCAATATTTGCATTTAATATGTGCTGCTGAAGTCATTCGATTGAGTTCACAAGCCTGCAGGGTTTCTCAACTGTTTGCCATGCTCCTTCAGTCTTGTGAAGCCTCCCAAAGCTCGTCATCCTCTCCTCACTTCCATTTGCAGTTTGTGGGCGATGCATGCCCTTGAGTACTCTCCCTCCCCTGTCTCCCCTCGGCTCCCTATAGTCCGTTTCACGATAACTTGGCAAACTGGAGGCTACGGCGCTTGCGACCCAATAAGAGCGTCGGAGCAAAGCACGTGACACCACGTCAAGGTAGCGTTTGTGTCACTGCGCCAAATGTGAGGCTTGGAGGAACTGGCTGTCTTCTACTGGCCAAGAGTCGTCTGCTGTGAAACCAACCAACTTTGGGTGAATGTCCACCGCTGCATAATTGCCATCTACTAGAGTGGCAAACTTTTTGGGAACAATTCACGATACGCTCAATTTACCTGCTAATCTTCTGCGGATGCTAATGCCAATGCCAGGACAATTTTTTAAGTGGAAGCGATCGTTTACTGGGCTGCGATCGTTCAAACATTGTTGTCAAAATAGGGTTGACCCAAATCAAGCGGGGGTGTGCGAATATTTAAAATTTCAAATATGATTCAAATATTTTCTTTATTCGAAGCATATTCGATTCAAAAATTGCATATTTAGGAAAAACGGCGAATATTCGCACAAACTGTGAATATTCGAGCAAGTAACGAACAATCTGCCTGCCACACATTCCTCTATGAATATGTTTATTCGCTGAAAAATGAGTATGATGCGTGCATTATTGGTCTACCCCGTTTCTGTTTGTCCGATGGCAGCAAGACAGGATCAGTTTCGGTTTATTTTTCACCAAGGCCTTTATTGTGTGGCATGTTTATAGCAATATGTGATGTTATTGCACTTTCTCTAAATTTATACAATAAAATTAACCTATCTCGAGAGTGTTCTCTAATATAAATGTTTGAAAATTAAAAACAGAAAAAGCTAGATGCACCACTCCCACATACCCAAAACGTAAAGAACACTAGCAGCTAGCTGCACAATTCTCTCGGTGCTGATACCGAAGTGGCTGATACCATCCTCGCTCAAGCGTGTTTTCCGAGAATGCCATCAACTGCGGATGATGAGCCACCGAGCAAGCAGTAAGAGAAAGCCGGAAAAAGTCTTCTTTGATGGTACTAAACAAGACATGTTGACAGCTCGGTGCAAGTCGTGTGAATGTGTTCTTCAAATGCCGACGGGAATAACCACAACTCTTCAAAATCCCATGAAACAGCACTCTTTGTTGATGGAAGAGTACAAAAAAGATGCAGCAAGCACGCCGTCGAAGAGTCGACCAAGACTGGATAATATGCTCCAACAGAGAAAGTAGCCCTTGCCACGGAAGAAAGAAAATGCCCCTCATCAGAACGTGGCAGAGATGGTCGCCTTAGATGTCCAGCCTTACAGCTTTTTGAACACTGGGGGTTGAAGGCACACTCATGAAAAAAGCTTTATCGGGCTACAGTCTACCATCTGGAACAAAATTGTCGCACACCTGTATGACGACAAAAAGAGCAAAGGTAGGGTTCAAGCTGCGAAAAACGCTTGATGATGGAACAAGCACTCTTTCTTTTACGAGCGGTAACTGGTCCTCGCGTGCCATTGAGGACTTTCTAAGCTTTACATGTAATTTTTTCACCTTGAAATTTGCGATGAAAAGGTTCACTTTGAACACGTGACATATGCCGGAGAGTCACACGGCAGTGAACATTGCTGCTTCATTGGAGCAACTTTGCGCCGACTAAGAGATACCGACCGACTGCGTGAAGTGCATTGTGATGAACAATGGCTGCAATATCTAAGCGCTGCCAGGAGGCTGCCATGGTTTGAGCGAGCCTCTTTCATGCATACAATGCAGTTGGCGATCTGCGATGCGAGGACATGTGCCCCAACTATCAACAAACTGCAAGGCAGCAAGATTGATTGTAACAAGCATAGCTCCATGGCGCAGAAACAATTGGACGATCTGCAGCTGCAGCTGAGCAAACGCACTCCATGTTGTGCAGGATGTTGACACAAGATAGAATAGTCAGTACCTCATGTGTTCAAGGCTCCACAAACTCGAACAAGTCATCATTTTTTAACTTGCCACTTCGGACACTACCATATATGGCTTTAACTCTGTGGAGTGGAGAGATGCTGTAGAGTTTGTGGAGGTATTGAAGCCATTGTCTGATGCAACTGTGATCAAAAGGGCTGAAAAGGACCCCTCATTGCCATGTCAAATTCCAATTAATTCTGGAATGCTGCATTGTCCTGAAGGTTGCAGAGGTAACTTAGAGTTTGCTAACAATCTAAAAAGATGTATCAAAACTCGCTTTTCGGAGCGTGACTTTGATGAAGTGGCCAGCCTGGCCATGTTCCTTGACCCTCATTTCAAACCCACAGTTCATCAGGCATCTGGCCATATGATCTGGCTGAAAGACCTTGTGACAAGGGAGCTCCAGACAGCTGACGTGGAACCGAGTGGGGGCAATGCCATGCCAGCATCGTCCTTGTGTTCACCGGTGGCATCCAGTGTGTGAAACGCTTTAAACCATCCCACGCGAAAATCAGTCCACTTCCAGCTGGATTATGGAACTGGAAATGAGGCAGTCCAGCTGGATTCCAGCTGGGTCCAGCTGGACTGCCTCATTTCCAGTTCCATAATCCAGCTGGAAATGGACTGATTTTCGCCTGGGCATCTAGTGATGAACAAGGAGGAGACTCATTTGTCATCTGCCTCAGAGAGGGAAGTTACAGAAAACGCCGAAAAGCCTCTTTTGGACAGCGGCAAGGATCCTCGCGAGGGGTGGCAATGAATTTGGGTGCTTCATGCTCCCGCTTTTTGAGGAAACTCGCCCAGAAGCACTTGGCTCTCCCCGCTACACCAGTCCCGAGTGAAAGGGTCTTTTCGACTGGCGGAAGTGTTGTCCCGGTGCATAGGGGGTGCTTGCTTTCTGAATACGTCGAGCAGTCAATTTGCCTATATGATAATTTGTAATGAGTGCATTACTAGAATTATCTTTAACCTGCTGCAGCCCAGTTAAATGAAGTTCCATTGATTCATCCTAAAAGGGTAATAAAACTTGCTGCTACTTCTTGTTTTGCAATTTTTTATTACTAGACACATATTAGATATTCAATTCAATATTCAAAGTCAGTTTGCTGCCTTATCCGTATTCGATTTGTAATAAGAAATTTCAATATTTGCACACCCCTAGAATTAAGTGTCGTTCCGAAGTAACATGTCTTCATCTTTCTTTCGTGTCGTGTAGCATAGCGTCGATAGATATGCAGTCCCGCGAGTGCAATTGCCGTCAAAAGAAAAAGAAGCTTAGAACTGCTTTTTTTCGCGGACGGCGCTGTTGCTATGGCGGTAACGAGGCCTCTGTGGCCTCGATCATGCAGCGTTGTCAGGTGCCTCCCTTCGACGCCTTTCTTGGGATGCGGGGGCCGCAGCCGCCACAGTGCGCCAAGTTATTATGAAACAAAGAATAGCAAGAGGGACTTTTTTTTTTCCCCGAACGTGAACATCATACAGAGGTCTGTCTGGTTGGGCGTAACAATTAACAAAGGAGATTGGGTTCCCCATCAGAATTCTCAATTAGGGCTTGGTTGCACTTCCTTATTTTTTAATTATTCTTTTTTGTATCGTATCTTTGTTTGGAGGCCGCCACAGGAGTCAAACAAGGCTGGCGTTTGTGAGCATGACTTCCATGAAAACATACCACCCAGCAACGTAACGTGGGTTTCTTATTGCTAAAAAGCGGAAAATCGTCTCGTGAAACCGACACGCTCGTTCCCTGGGCTGTAGCGACCTGTACTCTTCTGCTTGTTCCAGATGGCACTGCAGCGTTGGGACATGGTCCTGGGCTTCCTGCATGACCAGTGGCATCTGCTCCTCCTCATGGGGCTCGTGTGCCAGCTGTGCACTTGGGTGAGCCTCCCACACTCGTTTTCCCGAGTCGGTTGCGGACTTTTGAAAGACAACCTGATTCGTCCTGCCGTTAACTCTGATCAAACCAGAATAGAAGGCTCCTTATCTTTAACCTGGAAGCGACAGAGCGTGCCGCTTCTTAGCAGCCCTTCGGGTTGTCTGTAAAAATGCACTTTTTGAGCTCTAAGCCGAGTTTTATGGTTATAGCGTCACCTAGAAAGAATGAACAACCGGGACAAAGGGCTGCACCTACTCTTCGGGAAAGAGTGCATGTGTTGTTTCTTCTTGTTTGTTTCTTTTTTTTTTCTGTACGCTTGCCATCGAACATGCTCCATTTATTGTATTGTATTGTAACACAGCAAAGTTGATCGCCGACAGTATTGTAGATGTGCTGACCTGTACAGATGGTTCCTTGCCTCACAAATTGGCGAGAGTCGGTGAGCCGATCACTTTCTTAACACTCTCTGTGCAACGCTCGAGGGTGAAAACTTGCGCTTTCGTGTCTATAATCACCATCACCGAGCATGAATATATGTGGAGACTTGCACCTGGCCCCCACTCTTCCTCTTTCCTTATTGGACGCCCGACAGGTCTCGGTTTTACTGGTGTCTGCAGCTGTTTCCACGCTGCACCTTGTGAAGGAATGCTCGTCAAAAACTCTGGCAAAGATTGTGGACATATTAGCATCCTAGAAAATTAAAAATACAAGTTTTAGAAAAAGGCTTTGAAAACAAAACTGGTGGAAGTGTCTTTTCAAAAGCAATTAATAGTTTTAATACTATAAACGTTAAGCTCGTTAGTGTTAATGTTTTTAAGCTGCCAGTCAGAAAAGAAACATCAGTAAAACTAAGGAGCACAATACCTCGAGTCATCAGCCAGTCCCCTCCCCCCGACACCCGAAGCGCATCAGAGAAGTGGGGTGGGCTCTCGGGTACCTAAGTAGAAGTAGTTTGGGCTAAGCCTAAGAAATGCCTATTTGTCTGAACGTCCCTAGCTTGGCTGGACCAGAGATAATGGCGAACTCAAACTCGGGTTAGTTTTCTTCCGTACCCGCATACTTGGGTACGGAACAACGAAACTGTTTCACTACAGTCGCCAACCGATTTTTAATGCAAGAGCATGAACTGTCCCATGGAGCGAGCCGACGTCATCAGTCGTACCGTATGGCAGATAAATTCTCAAAGCTGCGATCTGAGGCCTCCCAGCTTTGAAACTATGCAGAAAGCCATGCAAAACGGCAGTGATATGAAGTCGCCGTGCGTCAGTTTTAATTAGCACCACCCATGGCGCTGCATGCCCGCTCCGGGGCAGAAACGGTCAAGGTGACCAGTGATGCCATTCATTTTTGTTTTAGGGGCGAAGCTCCTTAGGGTCTAGCCTTGTCCATCCATCCATCCATCCGTCCGGCGTCCGTGCTCACATCGATTGCACTGCCTCCGGGATCGGCCCACTTTTAAAAAAAAAACGTACGCCCGCATGGTGGTTCGAACTCAGGACCGCTTGTTTACGAGGCAGACATCTTAACCACTACGCTACACTCCAACGTTGCATGTAGCCGCACAACGTTTATAGACGAGAGGGCGTTGCGGTCAAATGCTCAACTGTGTGTATAACCACGTTCCATACCACACGTTCCCTTTCTGACATGGACCGTTGACTTGAGCGGTGGAGATGCGTTCCCACGGCTTCTAGCAGATCCAAGCTGATCCGCTAGAAAAACCACTGGCTCTGCATTTCACCGACCATAAAGCAGTAATAATGAAGTCGAAACGTAACCCAGAACTCAGCACTACCTATGAGGAATAAAAAAAAAATCAGAACCATCAGCACTACCTATCATCAATAAAATCAGTATCATCAGCAGCACCAGAGCTTCGCCCCAATCAGCATCATTCACCATGTGGAGATGCGGCCTCTTTTTCTTTCTGTTTTTGTTATTGGTTTTGTTTTTGTTTTTTCAGCAAAACAAAGTTTTGGTTATTTCCCACTCTTCTTTTTTTGCTCAAACATCCTTCGACCTTGGGGTCGCAAAAATTGGGGAGGGTTGTGTGAAGAAAAGGAAGTTCCTTTCCCTCCTTTGTTTTTCTTGTGTCATGGACTCCCTCCAAACTCATGATCCATGGCCACGATATTCGGGGAGGATGGGTGTTCGCAGGTCATGAAGTCCGCAGCTAAGGTATTTATAGGAGTGGGCAGTGTCTTGGTGTTTTCTTGGAAGTTGAAGTTTTGCCCAAAAATTGAGCAAGGCGATAACTCGGAGTATTATGCTGATGAATTCTCTTTCTTCCGCTTGTAAGAGGGAGGTCATATGCAGAAGCATAAAGAATTACTTTTTCGAAGTGATGTGCATTGGGAAATAGTTACCGTATTTGCACGAATATAACGCGATTATGAATATAACGCGATAATGTCGTTATGCACTAAAAAAAAACATAGTATTACTATAATTACGCGAGCCGAGGTCGTGTAATTTTACCGCACTCGAAGGCATAGCAAAAGTGGAAAGGCAATGAAAATCAAAGTAATATCAGTAATATCGGACTGCACTCATCCTCACCGCTCAGGCCCTTCCGTTTGCAATCTGCTTGGTCACTACACAGATACACAGTAGCACGGCACTACTTGTCTAATAGTTCTTCTATTAGACAAGCAGCGTTGGGGAGGGGGGGAGAGGGGAGGGGGGAGGGAGTTGTTTGTAGCTAATTTTTAATAAAATTTTGCTGTTGCATGCTTAGAGATCGCCTACCCTGTATTTTTCACCATTTATCTCTTCAGTTTGGGTGAGCGTTCTTACTGAGTTCTATGGTAGTTCTGTGTTCGAAGGAATCAAACCTGCATGCAGTTGATGCTAACCGTGGACAGGCTAGTGTGTTAATTTCGACATAATATCTGAAACATTGTGAATGAGAACGTAGTGTAGGCTTATGCTCCAAAAGTGTGTTTTGTTTGTCCAAAATAGATTTTAGTTGCTCCAAAAAGTGCTACAAAAGGACACAGACCAATCACATCACTGCATGCTGTTCCCATCAAAGTCCTATGCATTTGAATGAGAGAAAGCCCCCTGTAATTCGAATGCATCAAAATGTGCAATGACTAACTCGAACTGCATGCCGCCAAAGGCGACTTCATTAGTCCAGCTACTTACAGCTAGATGGTGCCATTCGCTGCCCACCATATATACCCATCCATGCATTGTGTACTGCCAAGCTCTGCGCATCTGGAATGCGCCGTTGAACTGCTGGACATTTTTGTGCTCATTCAGTTTAGCCTGTTCAGCTTTGGCCTTGGTTTTCTCTTTGTTCTCCAGTTAGTATCCAAAATCCGAGTTCAATACTGTTGTGTCAAATCACGCACAATCCTAGGTTATTTAGTTATTTATGCAATACCCACGGTGCCTAAACAGGCATTACAGTGGATATACACTGTAGACCGCATATAACGTATGTCGCGGGAGTCACGAAAATCCGCACTATAAGCGGTACCGCGTTATAACCAAAACATCAATTTTTCAGGCCAAAATGCATGCCATCAGACAACTTACCTTTGTAAAAGAATTTATTTTATGTTAGATGAAAAATAAAGCTTAGTTTGAGGAAAGTCTTTATTTCACCAGACTAGTACACTTCTCTCTCAAGTGTGTCACACATTTTGAAAGAAATGAGCGACTTTTGCCTGGCGCAGCCTTTTAACGGCGTCGCGGGTTGCGGACGGACGTTGCGAGCGTTCAGGATTGCTAACCTTAATCACTTGTCTCCGGCGATGAAAACGCCTGAAAATTCATATTCTTTATACGGTACGCGCCAGTAACACCTTCAACTTGAGCACAGGCATGAAATGCTCCAAATAAGAAATCCGGGCGATGTTCGAAAACACAAATGCTTAGAAAGCACCACTGTAGTCGATGTAAGCAAACACGACGACACGGGCGTTTCTGCCGTCTTGAGAGTGCCGCCACAACATCGCCGCACGAGTAGGTGGATCTTCCGCTCTAGTACGTGCTAGGTTATCATAGCGACACACAACGAAAATTCACAGTCAAGGATAGCGCTTTTACACGGAACGATAAGCTTCTACCACACTGTCTACGTCGACGATCATACTGACGCCATGTTTGCGGATAGAAGCAGCCGGCCGGCCGGCCCGCGACCAGCATGCAACGCGTGCGAACACTTCTCGACCTGCGATTGGTCTGTCGTTGCAGTTGTTTTCCAACACAGCAGAGGGACGCACGCACGTGAACGACATGTGCGTGCGTCCCTCCGTCGCTATGGCAACTCAAGCCTCTCTCTTCGCTTCTCCCCACTTCTTCGAGCAGCCTCCTTGCCCCACGAGTGCCGCTTGCGGCTCGCGCCGTTATCTAGTGTCGCACAGGGAAGCGTGCTCTCTGCGTCGGTCAGTCGGCGCGGTCGCCGGGCTGTTCCGAAAACCGCACTATAACCAGTATTTCCCTTTGCGCGCCTGCATTTTAAGCGGTATGTAATTACATGGAGTTCTATGGGAGGCGAACCGGTGGTTTATAAAAGCCACATTATACCCGGTCCTGCACTATAAGCGGTTACGTTGTGAGTGGTCTATACCGTACCTACATAACAGCATAGTCAGTCAGACCTTTGCTCCACGGCTATACTGCTAATTCACTATCAGGCAAGAAGTTGACATTGGTGGCTTTTTGACAGGCCTTTGTGTAACGATTGCACGTACTAGAAAAGCATGTGACATAAAAAATGCAGCACTACAGCCTCATTATCTAGAAGTTGTTGAAAGAGTGTGCTCGCATGCACGGTAGAAGAGTGTGCGCATGTCAAGGTAGAAGAGATCAAGCACATGCTTCAAAGGAAATTGGCAGACTTGAAATAGCGAGGTCAAAGCTGGGGCGTGCGACCTCAAGAGATGCGACCTGAAATGTGCACTGAGGCCCTCCGCGCAAGATCGCCGTGAAGCGACACACAATACATTCTGCGTCACTCTTGCCTTGCAAAGAATGGTGAGGGAAAAGATATAAATATCTTTAATCATAAGCTCCCTCCACGGGCGGGTTGCTGAAAAAAAGTTGCCGGCGTTGCAACAGCCCAGGCGAGGGCGGGGCTTTTAAATCTTGCTCCCTGGGGCGTCGCCTATTGCAGAGGGCTTCCGAGGCGCAGTGGCAGCACCAGCGCGAGCGGCGGGAGTCTGCGCACGTGGGCGAGGGCATGGCCTGGTCCTTCTACTTCGGCTACATCAGGCTGCTGCAGGACCCCGTGCCTGCGGGCAGGGGACGCAACGCCGAGCCCTACTGTGAGTGCTGGTGGCGATCACCTCACACTTGTGCTCTTTTACTATACTTCGTTTCAGCTTCCATCCGAGCGCAGCCAAAGCTACGTGTGGCCGGAGCCAATCACACACCGCCAATTGGTCACGCGATCTTGCCTGCACTTTTGTATCACTCCGCTGCGCCGCTGGTCGTCCGCACCGCTCGCGCTCGCCGGGTATTTCGTCTGCTACAGATGTATCAACGGTATCGTCTGCTACAGGTTTAAAAAGTGCCCTTTCACGTTATGAAATGTAGTCACAGGGGATGTCAGTACGTGGGCTGGCCGCTGGCGTCTGTGTCCGAGCTTTCCGCCTGTCTGGCATTTCGGCATAGTTTCGAGATGTAAGTACACATTGCAAGGTGCCCAATGACCCGGCTGTTGATGTTTCCTTGTAATGTTTGGATATACGAGGGCTCGAGGCGCAATCCTTTCTACCAGCTTCTCGGCGTTCAATGTGATCGGCAGGTAAAGGGGTGCCCTGATTTCGCCGCGTATCAGTGAATTGTAGTGGCCCGGACGCTTTTCTTGTTTACAACGCAGTCGCGGTACGACGCGGCCGAAGTCTCCTGCCGAATTTAAAAGTAGACATTCATCACGACCGCTCATGCCTGACGCCCAAACGTGCCTTTGCGAAAGAACTTTCTGAAGCGACTCGGTGAGGAAAGCAGCGAAGCACATGATTCGGCCATTATGGGAACGAAATCACACCGAAGAACCAAGCGTTGCAGCCGCGTTGCCAGCGGATGTACGCGTTTTCACCAAACCACGTGCATTTACATATATTAATAAAAACATAAACTTCAGATATTTAATTCCTTTCGTTGCACATCATTCTCAGCAGTACACATCTGGAATGTTGTGCAATGTTTACGCACACAACAGTTATTTTAAAAATATTACTTTTGTGAACTACTTTGTGGTTTGTAGGAATGCTCTTCTTAAAGTCGTGAACCGTCCCTCAGCCTTTGGCTGCGCTCGGACGGAAGCTGAAATGAAGTTTAAAGACGGACGTGTAAGGAGGCCCGCTTAGAATGGAAGGTGTGTTGCCTCGTGTGAGTTGAAAGACGGCGCTCTGCGGCCAGACAAACGTGCCGAACGAAGGAATGGGACGTCCTACTGCGTCGGAGGTTGGAACAGGACCCGACTATTCTGGGGTTGTATATGATCTAAAGCATGAAGGGGTGCGGATCCAAACTTGGTCGTTGGGTGATAACGTCCATTCGCATGGTGTTGTCCACGCTGCTTGTGGGGGGTCTGCCCCGTGGCCCTGCTTCGTCGCTGTCTCCTTTTTCGGAGGGACCGCTTTAGATGGCCAACATATCTGGCACTAATCTTTGGTCATATTTCATCTTTCTTGACAATCGTGTTTTGAATATTGGTAGTATGTGGCATAATAAGCCATGAAAACATACAAGGGCACAATGTCAATTTGTTCTGATGGGTGGAGGCATGTTGAGCTGCCCTTCATTAGTGGTGCTCGAACAACTCCCCGGACTGCACTTTTTACTCCAAAAAAGCAGTATCTTCCGCCAACAGTGTGCGAAGAAATGAAGGCGATAGCTGAGCAGGGTCCTCCAATGTGAGTGGAGTGGTGCTAACAAGTACCTTAGGACGGAGGTGCGACGTGGTTAATAGTCATAGCCGTCGTGGTTGGCATCGTGGATGCCACTGACAAGTGCCACCAGTGGTCCGTGAAGTGAGTTGGTAAGTGCGGTGTAAGTTTCTAGAACTATCCAACATTATGCGTGGCACCTGGATACTGCCAGAGGGATTTCGCATAACACGGATAACGTTTAAAAACAAGTCTTTCAAGCAGCCGACACAATGATTCGCCCTTTCTTGCACAATTCTCGGCAGGACGCCATGGCTGCACGGCACTGCAGGCGGAGAATCCTGAGCCCCCTCTCCTCACGGCAAAAGGAGAAAGAAAAAAAGTTTCTCCAGTTTTCGCGTGCACGGCGACGACATGGTACAAATGTACAAGGATGAAATCTCTGCCAAATGTTGCCCATACAGCTATCGCTTTAAAAGTTAATTTGAGCATTCTGCATATAGGAGCAGCACTTATGTATTTCTGGAGGGTTGTCACAGGCTCTTTGGTTTTTTTGTGTGGCAAGGAATTATCTATTTGGATTAAAACTTATTATCTATTCCCTGGGATGCCTCTGTTGCAACTGTAACTCTAGTGGAGCATTTTTGTAAGAGTATAGATTTTGTTGCGAGTAATTTTATGAATGGATCCAATGCTGACTTTCATTGTGACTAAAGACGATCACTAACTTTCTTGTTGATGGCTTTCGCTGTTTTTATTTTCTCTGAAGTAAGGCCATTTATGTTGACTAAAAAATTCCTAGGACACCTAAGCACTTCTTATGAGTTGTGAATGTGAAAGCATTAATGCCGAATTGAACGCCGCCAGAAGCGGCAGCAGTGCCGACAGGGTGTGCGGCAGTGCACCACGCGGACCGCCCTGGCTCGCTGGTGACTGCTGCGCCGCTGGGTGACGCATGGCGGGAGTGCGAAGCTCAGCGCGTGACATCACGCTCTCCCACTGCGCAGGCGCAGCACCCTTGCCTCCTCCACGGCTTCAGAGACGATGCTTCTGGGTTGCTACGCTTAATATTGTGTTTTCTTTCACCTTGAGTGCCCCACTGGCTTCCGTGACAAAGCATCTGCATTGCTGTGCTTTTGGCCAATGGGTACTTTTGGGTGCAGTTTCGCTCCACCAATGGGAATTTAGCTACCGCTTTGCTCAGCCAGTGGCAATTTAGCTGCCGTTGTTTGCTGCTACAGACGGAATTTAGGTGCCGTTTCTCGCAGTCACAGACGACGCCGGCTTCGCTCCATGGGACAGTTAATGCTTTCACATTCAAACAGTGGCATCAAGACAGTAAATACTAGATATTAAAAACTCACTTGTGGTAGGTTGTTTTTTTTCCTTTTTTCCCTCGGGAATATTTATTGCTGCATTTTGATTGCACCTGAGAAGAGAAATGCCCTTGGGGGTAAGGCAGTATTTTCCTCGAGTGCATTCAGTTTGAGACTATAACTAGCATTCCTTGAACCTGGAAGACAGCAGCTGTTGGGAACCCCACACACAGTAGAACCTTGTTTATTTGTCTTTTACGGGACTGCAATGAAGACGTGTATGATCTAGGCAAACGTAACAGCCAATAATCCTCCCAAATCTATTTTTTTTTACTTGGACTTCTGCAGCTGTAGAGATCTGCGGCCTTTATTCATATACCAGTAAAACTTTTTGTCGTAAGTGTAATTTAAATTGAGACGCCCACCCATTCGCTCCATATGTGTCACTATGGCACCATTGTCTTTCGTGCCATCAGCACCTCCTGTGGTTGGTTTAAAAACTAATGGTATTTTCCCATGTGGAAGTGGCGGGTTACGGGAGTGTGGGAGTTGCCATGCGGTTCATTTTTGCGAGTTAACATGATAAATGACACTGTAATATATTCTGAAGCAAATAGTTTCAGGCTAGGAAAGATGTGTTATGCTGGTAACCACCTCTTTTCTGTGGAAAAGGGGATGATTCACGCTGCAGCAACCAGCGGGTTGGCAAAGTCGTGCTGAAATGTTTCACGCAGATGAATCTACGAGAACCGTTTCCATTGTTTGTTTGTTTTCTTTTATTCGTGATGTTTTACCCAAAGAATATTTTACACCACATCGGCCCAGTAAGTTGTTCAGTTTTCGACCCTTTCTTTCTCTTCGCTGCACCTTCCACATGAAAGATGATGTGTCTGCAGAGTTCCGAATCTCGTTGCGGCGACTGACGAGGGACAGCTCAAATGATATAGGGAAACTCCCTAAACTGGGCACTAATCGCCCTCGCAAGGCCAACATGCATGACTAGCACAAGGCGGGATTGCGCTGGCGATTCCATCAACTACTACGCCCTGAACCTGGGTAGCATATAACTGCGGTCGTCATCGACGAACCAAATAGAATCAACAAGCTTCTTGATTTCTTTAACAAATCAAAGAGCATGAAGCACACAAATCATGCTTCTTGATTTGTGTAACAAATGCGAACAATACAAAAAAGTGTTTAAAATGTATTCATATAAAAAAGGTCAGCAGGAAAAGAATATACACATTCCACATATTTCGGGGGTTTCAAGACCAATATCAGGGGCTTATATTTTCTGGTGTAAAGTGCCGCAGCCATGTTAACCGTCGTGCCGTCAGGTAGCCCTTCTTTTTTTTATATTTGGAAAGACTGGTGATTTAGGTGAGGCTCATTTTGTTCCCCGTAAAGTAGGCACTTCGGGACTTAGTTACTCCGTTCAGGGACTGCCACTAGGACTTTGTACGAAGACAGTGGCTGGTGCCAGCTAGAGTAGCTTCGCTCTAATGCCATCCACAGGCAAATCTGGATCGTGGGAGCTCGATAAAAATTACAGGAAGATCCATTGGTGGATTCTTAGGGAATGCCTTAGCATGACTTTTGGGAAACGCCACACATGTCCAACTTTGGGAATCACTAACACTGACCCCTTCAATTTTTTGTTTTGGCTTTCGGCCTTCTCTTTTGCTTCCTCTATGTTTTGCTGCCTCTTTTTGGCCCAAGGGTCATGCTAACGCATACCCTAAGAATCTACCAATAGATCTTCCTGTAATTTTGTTCACCTCTTTTTTGTAGTTAGCCTGTCAGAGTATGTCGACGCCCTTTGATAGGGTCATTCATATTACTCGTAGAACGAACAACATTTATACCACTCATGGAAGAAACCGCATCCGTATCACTGGTGGAGGGAACCACATCCAATGGTTAACTGCACACACAAGCATCAGAGCCCACGCACTGCTACTACGGAAATCCAGAGTGAAAAACAACCGGCAACGGCAGAGCGGCAACTGATCATGCCCGCACTCCACCGCGCCGTGGCGCGTCCCTCTCTCTGGTTCTGCGCCAGCTGTGTGCATGACTTTGACAAAAACACGGCAGTGTCTGTCAGTTTGTCAGCGCTGGGAAGAGGGGAAGAGATTGATTTATGCTGACGTCAGCGCTTCGGATTAATGGGAGCGTCGCACGCGTCACCCTTTCCCCCTCCTTCTCCCTCTCTCCCCGGCACTGGCAAACGAAAGACACCTTCGGGTTTTTGTTAAAACAAGCGCTCTAATGCTGACACATTTTAAAGAAAAGTACACAGCACGAACGAAGCTCACATGTCTGGTCATATCGTGGTACCGCTGCGATTCATTGCAGTCGATGCTGCACCGGCTCCACTTTCTATGGCTTGTCCGGAAATCGCTAGAATTCCAGAAAGGATAGTTTCTCAGCTTTATTCATTCAGACGTTTGGGCAGTCGTAAATGCAAGAAAAAAGTCCGCGGTTATTTTTTTTGTTTGCAATGCTGGGACAACATAACGAGGCTTACAAAACGCTGGCTCACCCACTGAAAGTGAGCGTCAGGAAGATACGATAGTTCCTATTTTGACCACCAGATGGCGCCACATATTTTTTAAAATTCAAGCGCACGTAGCGTACAATGACATTCCCAGAATGTGGAGCTACGAGAGTGATAAAAATGTCCGAGCCTATAGAGCTACCTCAAGTGCTCTCCCAGCTCAACAGAGGCTCTTAGCACGCCGCTGCGAAGCGGGGAAGCTCCATGTGTGCACTTCAGTGTGAAATAGCATCAGTGAAAGGGTGGAAAAGATAAGGTGACAAATTGGGCCAATTCGTAGACATTCTACATGATGGGGTGAAGGATTCATAGAATGCAGACAAAGGGAAGACACAAACGCAACAAGGTACTGCTGTACTTGCAACTAAAGTTTAAGGGGAGGTGCGGGTTGGAAAGCGGCCATATTGTGTCAAAAATTTGATTTATGATTTTGTGTGTTTCATTATCTTTAAATTTTCATATTTTATTTTAAAGAAATAAGGGCTGCATATGGCGGTGAAGTTACTCAAATACGCATTTGACGACCTCTTGGCGTTTGGAAAGGCATATGAGCCATGCTCACGTGCGCCGTTCTTCAAATTGTAACGTCGCCTGTCATCACAATTATTTTTTAGAAGTATGCCTAGCCGTCTCTTCTCCATCGGAATTTTTTGTAGCTTCAATTTCTCACAAAAAAAATAAGCAGAAATTATTTTTTCCTGTGCGAAGGAGTGTCTCATAAGCAGCTATAGTAATATTCAAACTTTTTTTTTTTTTTGTAAGTTTGAGGCACTTTCGCAGTTTGCATTCAAGAAAATTTATTCTTAATAAAGTCCTATCAGATTTAAATATGGCGTGTATAAGCTTTAAGATATGTAGAATGTAACTATCAAGATTTAACTAGAGTGAATATTTTTTTTATTGTTAAAACTTAAGAAACTTTTGTCAGCCCCTAGAAAACGGAGCTTTTGCATTAACGTAACAGCTTGGGCGAGTTGGTTGCTCATATTAAGGGGGAACACTGGTCTTGGAGCTTTTTTTCTTATTCTGTGACCAAACCCATTGAAACTGCATAAGCTTGTTCAGCTTTTTGTGCTGATTTCATATATCTGGTCGTTTTCTCAGTCAGGAGAATTGTCCTCAAGGTAATTAAAACTTGCCTGCCTTTGTTTGAAGGAACGATAGGAAAAAAACTGCTCAACAAAATATCCTTTTTAACGCATGGCTAGATACTAGAAAGTGTAGAGCATACAATGTTGGAAGTACTTTTAAGATAAACCCACTATTAGTGATTTTACCACACATTGAAGTTCAGTCCTCAATGCATGGCTAACAAATAGTAAAACAAAAGATCAAATAGAAAATTTTCTAGACTTTTATGAGAAAATCTGCTGTCAACATTGTATGCTTCACACATTTAACTACACATCTCAGGAAAGGTTATATTTCTATCTGCTCTGGATGCTGAGATATCCCTCCTGCAAATTTTTCACGAGTCCAAAAATTGTGTCTTGTGAAAGCAATGTTTTAGAGTCAACTTCAACGCACATTCAACCCGCATAGACATTATTAGTTGATTTATAGCCCAAATATTCACCCACAAAATTAGAAGCCTGGTAAATTCAGAAGAACAACAGCCATCGCCATTTTCAAAAGAATACAGTTTTAGGACGTTTTTGGCTCCTGGGACCCATGTCCCCCCTTAACACACACTACAGCGCACGCTGCAAACATACACTCACACCGTACACTCACTCCTTACACGCGAAAAAGAAAGGAAAAATTCAAACAAATGGCACTGATTGACAACTCGTTTTTTATATACTTTGTCTTCTTCTACGTCTGGAACTACGGAATTTCCCAAATCACGCGCATTAATCTTCTAGATGCCAAGAAAATTTTTCTCTTTTTCTGTGAGGTTCGAAGATACAACACAATTTTCATAATTCCTGACGATGTGTTTGGCTTCAATAATATCTCTAGTTAATTGATTACTGTGCCGACCTAAAATTGTACAACATGGCAGGGGAACCTCACACCCACAATCACAACAGTGTATGCCCAGGTAGCCAGTGTTAGATCTGGTGCCATTGTTTTTGTGTTCACGGAGCCTATTATTAAGGCATTGTCCAGTCTGCCCTATGTACATTTTCCTGCACGAAAGGGGAAACGAATACGTGCACCACTTCCTCTGCGCACTCGACGAAGCTGTTATGATGTTTCTTGGTACAGCTTACCTTTCGGTGGGAATAAGGTGAGTTCACAATTGTTTGCACAGGTTGGCAAGCTTATTAGGAGCAGAGAAGACAATGTCGATGTTGAACTTATTAGCGATTTTTTTGATGCCATGAGAGAACCTGTGTATGTAGGGCAGAACGTCTGGTCTCATGGTTGTCTCTGGCTCTTGGTGTGACAGATGTTCCTTTATTTTTGGTTTTCAGGATGCTCTCTGCAATCAATGTTAATAAGGAGATAGGATATCCGGCAGATGTTAATCTTGAAATTTGTGCATGAACGCTTACTGACATGGAGTGCATGCAAGGTTTTTTTGAAGAGAGTTGTTTAGACATAATTTTACAATACCTCTTTTTACCAGATTAAAATGTGCTGAATTGAAAGAAAGAATCGGTTTTTTACCCCTTGGTTCATATGTCCAGCATATGCCGCTCCCGGAGTGATAATGAGCGGAAGTAGAAGACAGTGTACGGTAGCCTTCAAGAAGAAGGCAATTGCCTATGCAGAGATCCACAAGAATCTTGCAGCGCAGCGAGAGTTCGGTGTATCGGAGAAGTGCATATGCAGCATGGTGACGCCAGAGACAAAAACTGGCAGCATGCAGCAAGGAAAGCTTCATTTCGTGGAAGAACTGCAGTGTGCCCCAAATTGGAAACAAAGGTGGCAAATTTCATTCGGAATCTGTGCACCAGGTCGCCACCTGTGACGTTAAAGTGAATCTGTACGAAAGCCGTCGAGGTCGCTCGTGCCTCCAGGCTCTTGAGTGTGCTCTTCAAAGGGGTGTTTTTGTCCCTTTGAATTGTGTTAGTGAACTCGTCGTCGGATGAAGGTTCTGAGGAACCTGAGTAGTAACGCTATTGCACTTCCTGCTTTATTGCGTGCGAAGCAATTAAATAAATGTGCCGTGTTTCCTCGTCCTTCCGTATGCTTGGTTAAATTTGTTACCAAGGTAAGGTTGCATTTTCCTGCCAGAAAAACTTTTCTTTGCTTTTTGCAACTTGTAAATTAGGGGGTCGCCCTATATTCCAGTTTGACCTACAGGGTGATTCAAGGAGAGACCAGGCTCTTTAAATCAACCGCAAAATTCGTTTTTTTAACCCATCGTGCTACTACTTTGTGCAGCGTTGCCCACAGATGGTGCATTTTTTTTTGTAAAATTAGCAAAGAGCGAACTTACCTGAGGAAAAATTAAAGAAAGAAAAAGGCTTAGCTCCTATGGAAACGCAGCGATGACACCGGTCTTCAAACAACATGGAGCCGTTTCGCACGGGAGACAAGAGATGGCGCAACAAACGCCGTTAACGAACGAGCATACGGCGCCGAGAACCGGCGTGTTTAGCAGACAATCTTTTCAACTCAAAAGCGGCGCGCATTCCGCAGGCGGCGACAGTCGCAGAAACAAAAACAGGCGCGGTAACAACAAGGAACTGCAGTTCCTTGTCTGCTAAAGACACCGGCTCTCGGCGTCGTATGCTCGTTCGTTGGTGGCAGATTGTGTCGCGACCGCTTGCGCCATCTCGTCTCCCGTGCGAAACGGCGCCGTGTTGTTTGAAACATCTGTATTGACAGCCGAGGGACCTGTCCCGGTCTTGGTAATAGCGCAATAAAGCGGTGCAGTAGTCTATAGACGTTGTTACGCAACACTAGACAACCCAAATCTTTTAAAGTAGTACCGAGCGGCCGAGGAAGTTTGCGAGGTCATGGAACCCCGAGGGTACTTGAGGAACCCCCAGGCACTTAGGAAGCTAGTTTGGGAGCCCACGGTCTACTTTTTTACCGTCGGCCTCCTTGCAGCGCTGCGTGAGCGCATCAGCAAGTACGAAGACGACCACGGCGTGAAGCTGGCGGTGAAGAAGCTGTTCATCCTGCTGCCCTCGTCGTGCTACATCGATCCGCTGCTGGGGAGCGGGCAGGACGAGGACCTGGAGCCAACTACCTCCATCGAGGACGTCAACATACCCCGGGCGGGCACCAAGGAGCGCATCTTCATCAACACTGTCTACAAGATCAGGAACGGCGACGGGGAACCGGTACGTGCAAAGATCTCGCAGCGCCGTCAGTTGCTTCCCAGGCGCGTCGCCGTGTCGCGGCTCGGGGCGCTCGGATCGAGGTCTCGTGCCACGCCAGTCTGGGATTTTGTGCCGAATCCCCGACCCAGACCATTTCTATCGCGACGAGCCTCGTACTGGCATGCAGTCATGTATTGCCGCTGCGTGGTGCGTGTTGGAGACCCCAGGCTTGCAGTGGTACTGCACTGGGTAAATTTCTTGCCTAGAGCGGAGACACCAGACACCCACCGAGGCTGACTGACGTCGCGCTGTCCGAACAAGAACGCAATATGTTGGACCTTTTTCCAGTAACAAGCGCCGTCTGCGGAGTTGTCTTCAATCTACAAATGAAGGGTAGCCCAACTTGCCTCCGCTTGTCAGAATGCGTTGGCATCGTGCCATTGCATTGACCTTTGTTGCCTTTTATGCCCTATACTAGCGCATACTCAAGCAAGAATGGACAAAAAAGATGAGATACATGCAAAGACAGGTGCTGAGTGTAATAATAATAATAATAATTATAATAGCTTTATTCACTATACAAGTATGGTGGGAGCTGAGGAAAAAATCTGTACAAGCAGCTTGACTGGCCCTCAGCCCCCCACAGGTGCACAGCATTGACGAAATCATACACACGAATGTAAATAATGCAAAGTACAAAGTGTACAATACAAAGTACAAATATGTTGGTCGACCAAAACTGCCCTGCAAAAATGGCAACAGCTGGAAGTAGGGCCAGGAGAGGGGGTTTACGCATGCACAGGAGGCTATTGGAAAAGGTCCATTACTTATGTGTCTCTCTCTCTCTCTCTTTCTCTCCCCTTTAGCTGTTTTCACACCGGAGAGGCTGAAAATCGACGTTGATTCAGACTGCCCAAGGGTGGAAAAATAAATTTACCGTAAAGTTCCGAGAGAATGCCCGCCCCTGAGAGATCACCCATCCCGTTTTTCTGGCTAAATATCTGCAACATAAAAATTCCGAAACATTGCCCACCCCCGATTCCCATCAGATGTCATGCGACATCTAATGGGAATCGCATCAAACGTGCAATTTGCTGTACCAGCATGTTTGACAAGCGAGGTAATAGTGGGTTCCCGCGTTTTTGTCCACGATTTGCACGCCGTGCGACATCGGCTCCCGTAACACGCGAGTTGTTCCTGCTTGTACGTTGCACCATGAAATGCGAATCTGCTACGTCCGCAATCAGCGGTATCCGTTCCCGTGACATAAAGTTTGTAGCAGATTGCCGTGTTTATGTCCGCGATTTGCGCACTCGATCTCGATTCCACGCGGGTTGGTCCCGCGTGTATATTGCTTCTTGAAATACGACTCTGCTGTGTTCGCAGTATTTGCCCCTGTAACATACAAGTCTCTAGAGGATTCCCACATTTTTGTTTGCAATCTGCGGTATCAGTTCCCGCGTCACATGGTAGGCTGCCGGTACCAGGGTGTTTATCAATAATTTTTTTATAAAGTTTTGCTGTGGCACCCTTAGAGATAGCCCACCCTATGCTTTTTAACATTTATCTCTTCATTTTGGGTGTATGATGTAGATATATCTAAATCTTGCGGGCAAAGTCAGAAGATGCAGAACGTGCAGTGTGTTTCGAGCTCCACTGGGCGTCTATTACGAGCATTCCCGAGCTTGGATGTCCCGCTAAATTCTGTAATGCATTCCTCCAATTTGACTGAGGAAATTCTTCGTGCTAAATTCAAAGAGACTCAAATCCACTAAACTTTGAACGTTACATTTTCGCATTATGTTTCCTACACTTTTTTGGGACAGTTCTTTATGCAAACCCAGCCCTAGATGCATTCTGTATAAAAATAAGTGACTGTGTATTCTATGTTTCTTTTGTATTTAAAGAATCGTATCGGCCATATAACATTTCGAAATTGTCTCTTGTGTATTCTTTCTTTCAAATGCATCGTGATTGAATGAGAATTGTATCCTGTATTCTTGCCGCCATTGTAATCCTATTGTTTTATTTACTTATTTTTAGGCCGCTAAAATGCCTGTCCTGCTATTGTCTGTGGGAAGTAAACATCTTTGAGGTACCTTTGTGCTGTTGAACTGAAAGGGTGCAAAAGCGCGGCCAGGGACCCTGTATTTCTTTTTTGCCCCCTCCGCTGATTACATCTGCAAAACAAATAAATAACAATAAATAAATAAATAAATATAGGTGACTTTGGTTAAAGGGGCCCTGCAATGGCTTTTTGACTGGTTTTTAATTTGCACTGAAGCTGAGCGTACTGAACGTAGTAACTTCATCCAACTTTTCTTTTCTCAAATTTCGCTTTATTTTAAAAGTTATAGGCAAATTAGAATTACAAAAACAAGCAAAAAATAACCTCCTTCATGACGTCGTAGGTCCTGCCTTGAGTGGCCTTGAACTAGAGGAGGAGTAGTGAGATCATCGAGCGCACACGGCTGCTGCACTCTGTGTCGACGGCTCGAGAGGGCGCCACTAAAGCACGTGTTGGATAGGCTGTATGAAGCGGGCGGCCAGGGCAGCTCGTATTGCATTTGCAGCACGACTAAACACTAATTCGGCAAAACATTTCATTGGCCACAAACGACAGCAAACACGGAGTAAAGATTAGTTCAGATCGGGAGCCACTTCGCGCTGACGCACCGCCAAATGGCCAAATCGCCAACAGGACCCGCGCCGAAGGCCTTCGGAACGCTCGGAACCGGTCGGATTCTTGAGCCGGTATACGACCACAGCGCCGCCGCGTACATCCCGGACCTTTCTACGCTCCTCGTTTGTCGTAGCCTCATCCCACTAGCCTTTTCTAGTATGCGCCGTCTTTTTCCGCCGCTTCGTGGCGGGTATGTCGACGGGTCATTTGTCGTTTCCGTACTTTCTGAACTGCATTTGTTTCTTTTCTGATCTAAATAGTGAACAAAAACTACTTTCATATATTATTGAAACGGTTCGCGACACTTATATTTTGTATCTCGACTAAAAAAAAGCTCTTAGCGGCTTTGACCAGTGGCAAGCCCAGGACCAAAGACGTCGCATTTTGCGCGCTTTCGGTACCGCGGGTCGCCCTCGTCGGTGGAGGAGGTTTCCGCGTCGTCCGGTTAAAATATGACGCACTGATATTTAGTTACTCTATCCGTGCCCGCTGGCTTGCCCCAACTTCAAGAGACGTGGAAACCGCAAAAAAGGTAGACGCTTAAATATGATTGCAGGGCCCCTTTAAGGGGGGACATAAGCCTAAATTTTTAATTTTTTTTTTTTAAATTCATTTTTTGATTTTGACGTTTTCAGTCTTAGAAACTAATTATACACCCTTACGCCAAATTTGATAGCCATATGCCAAACATTTACGTTGATATAAAATATTTTCAACACATTGTGAGGCAGTAACAAAGTAAAGTAGTTCAATGTTTAAATGCATTTTTCTCAGTTCCACTTTTTGCTGCAAATTTCCTACGAAGGAATCTTTTGTTCGAAGGTGAAAGTATTCTGATACCACAGTCAACATGTCTCTGAACTGAAATTTACTGGGGAATTGGGCTATCTACTTTGTTTTGTTTTAAGTTGAAGTCCTCATTGAGAAAAAGCTAAGTTTTCAAAAATTGACATAGGACAGATATGCATCTCACATTTTGAGGTAATAACTCGTCCTGAAATATTTACATTTAAGTTATTAAAACTAGGTAGCCCGAGGTCCCATATTCCCCACCTTATATTCAAGCAGTCAAAACAGTGCTTAATAGCTTCATTTGCATATCATAGATTTCTTAATAAAGAGTGACACATCATCTTATGCAGGTATGTAAATTTGCCCTAGAGAGCTGAAAGTTTGCACAGTACACCTTCATCTGAAGCTAAATCTCACCTGCAAATTTCATTTTGATCACTTGAGTAGTTAAGAAGTTCGACCTCTAGCCAGTGTCCCCCCTTAAAACCTTGGCAGAAGTCTGAAAAATTCATGGCTAGGCGTGCCTCTAATGAATGCCTTCCTCGCCTCGTGTTAGGGAGGTCCAAATGTAGCTTTTTCTGTAATGTCAGTAGCATTATCAGAAATAACTCAAAAATCTAAGAAGCAAGACACAGTATACACCACTTACAACGTAACCGCTTATAGTGCAGGACCGGGTATAACGCGGTTTTTTTAAACCACCGGATCACCTCCCATAGAACTCCATGTAATTACATACCGCTTAAAATGCAGGCGCGCGAAGGGAAATACCGGTTATAGTGCGGTTTTTGGCACAGCCCGCCGACCGCGCCGACGACCGGAGCAGCAAGCTCGCTTTCCTGTGCGACACTAGATAACGGCGCTGACGGCGCGAGCCACAAGCTGCACTCGCGGGGCAAGGAAGTTGCTCGAAAACGCGGGGAGAAGCGAAGAGAGAGGCTTCAGTTGCCATAGCGACGGAGGGACGCACGCACGAGTCGTTCACGTGCGTGCGTCGTTGGAAACAAACAAACAAACCACAACGACAGACCAATCGCAGGTCGAGGAGAAGTGTTCGCGCGCAATGCATGCCGGTCGCGGGCCGGCTGCTTCTATTCCGCAAACATGGCGTCAATTGTGATCGTCGTCGTAGACGGCGTGCATCTCATCGTTCTGCGTAAAAGCGCTATCCTTGACTGTGAATTTTCGTTGTGTGTCGCTATGATAACCCAGCACGTACTAGAAGGGCAGATCCACCTACTCGTGCGGCGATGTCGTGGCGGCGCTCTCAAGACGGCAGAAACGCCCGTGTCGTCGTGTTTGTTTACTTCGACTACAGTGGTGATTTCTAAGCATTTGTGTCCTCGAACATCGCCCGGATTTCTTATTTGGCGCATTTTATGCGTGTGCTAAAGTTCAAGGTATTACTGGCGCGTACCGTATGAAGGATGCGAATTTTCACGCGTTTTCATCTCCGGAGAAAAGTGATTAGGGTTAGCAATCCTGAACGCTCGCAACGTCCGTCCGCAACCCGCGACGCCGTTAAAAGGCTGCGCCAGGCAAAAGCCGCTCATTTCTTTCAAAATGTGTGACACATTTGAGACAGAACTGTACTAGTCTGGTGAAATAAAGACTTTCCTCAAACTAAGCTTTATTTTTCATCTAACATAAAATAAATCCTTTTACAAAGGTAAGTTGTCTCATGGCATGTATTTTGGCCTGAAAAATTGATGTTTTGGTTATAGTGCAATACCGCTTATAGTGCGGATTTTCGCGACTCCCGAGACATACGTTATATGCGGTCTACTCTGTATGCTCATACAATGGTAACAATATTTTAAAAACAGTATAAGACGTTTTGCCTTTCAGACTTCTTGGTATCTCGTAAGTTTCTTCCAATTTCTAGACTTCTAGACAGCCGGAGTGCAACGAGCATTAATGACACCCATTGCATAAAGGAGTTTCTAGGGCGTAAAGCGGCAGAGACATCTACGTCGTAACGCCCTCTCGTAACGTGCTTCATCGGTGCAGTACTACTGCCTGGCGGAAGGTGCGACTCCCCTGCTGACGCTGCACGACATGCTGGTGCACAGCGAGCTGAGCGCCGAGCAGCAGTGGGAGCAGATGTGCATCTTCTACCACAAGCTGAAGGAGCTGCTGGAGAGACATCAGGCCTGCAGCGCAAACTTCCTTCTGGTGCCCTACTGCGGTGCGTGCTGGCACCCTAGTGGTGTCCTTCTCGCGTGCAGTGCAGAGTGCGACACAGGTGTAACCACCGACAGCAGGAGGACGGCCTTGAGCATGCACGCACAGCCAGGGCACGACGGCCGGGCATTCGAGAGAGATGCCGCCCTTCTCGTCCTGTCAGTTGCTAAAATTCAATGGATCATCTTTTTTTTTTTACTCTGCTGAAAGGACCGTGTTGAAGCTACTGATGTGCCACAACATCCTTAACTCACTTCCTGTAGAGGTTGAAATGAGAGGAAAAGGTAGCTTTTGGCGGGCTGACCAGAAGGCTCAAAAACATTGTTCAGCACTGGCCCACTGCAGTGGAGAAGTTGCGCAGCCGTCGTGTAACCATTGTGCATCCATTGCGCTGTCATCGCTTGCCCAAGTTACAGAAGGGAAGTCGCACCTCCTTGTGAGGAAGAGGTTTTGCCGTGCCAGAGCTTGTGGGCTGTTGAACGAAAGATAGTAGGTGACTTTGGGTTGACTCTGACCAAGGTTTAGAGATAGCCTAATAGCTGCGGTGCTCCTGTCTTCCACTTGCAAGGCCGGCGAGAGGAGGTTGCATCTGTGCACGTGTAGTCTTGCCTCGAAAGAAGCTTTTTCCGAGTGCCGGGCAACAATTTCTGTCGTTCTCGTGCAAGTGTGGATCGCATAGGGTTGTGAGTGAACATATGTATGTGCACAGTAAGCTGTTGCTTGAGAACTGCTTCGTACCTCATCTGCTATTAGCTCACCCAGAGCATTTTTAGTCATCACACTTTTTCAGATTCTACTCTTTTCTTTGCCATCTGCTGAAAACGATTATCAACGAGGTCCTCCTCTGTCTTGTCACTTGTTTGTACAAAGAGAGGAATCTCCTTGTCCTTTGGACGTATACAAAGAGAGGAATAATAAGGTTTAAGCTCGGATAGAGGTTTCACAACACGGCCTGTAGCTGCATGGTTCCATGTTCGGAACTCTTAATGTTACCATATTTTTTATTTACCGTAAAGTTCCGAGAGGACGCCCGCCCCCGAAATCGCCCATCCCGTTTTTCTGGTTAAATATTTTTAACATAAAAATTCCGAAGCATCGCCCACTCCCCGTTTTCCTTCAGACGTGATGCGATGTTCAACGGGAATCGTATCCGCCGCACGATCTCCTGTACTGGTACATCTGATGGGCGAGTTCACAGGGGGTTCTCGCATTTTTGTTCGTGACCTGTGCGCGCAATATTGTGACGAATGACAATTGATGAGGCAGTGATAATTGACGAAACTAAACGTTTAACGGGGCAAACTTGTGCCCAAAACAAAAAGGAAACAGAAGAAAGGATCATCTGATCTGGTGTCCGTTGGTGTTTATTTTATATTCACCGAAAAAAGCCAATAAGCTTTTGTGGGTATAAATATACGCCAAAAAAAAACGAAAAAAAAACCGCTGAATTTTAAAATAAACACCAAAAAAAGTATGCCAAATTTTGAAAAAAAAAAAAAAAAGAAACCGAAAATGCAGAACCCTACTTATAACGAACCCGGAAATAACGAAATAGTGGATATAACGAAGGAGTTCTGATTTCCCATTCTCGTTTGTATACCTGCAATGTGATTTGAGTCCACTTTTAGCGAAAAATCTCGGCAGGCTTGTGCTGATATAATGAACATAAATTCGCCGAAATTCTTTAGATTTAATGTAGAACGTACCACAAAACTTAAGCTGAGCTAAAATAAACAAAATATAAAAAGTAGCCACTGACGAACAGCACGCGGACCGTGCATCTTTACAGTGCATACCTCGGAGAAGTTCGCGCTGCTCGCCTCACCCCGCGCAGAAACAGGATGCTTCTCCACAAGACACGTAACGTGTGCAGCATAGAAAAACCCGGAAAAACCCGTTCGTTTATCGCTCTGCCATGCCGCATGCCGCCGTGCTCCCTTTCCCGCGTGGTTTTGGTTCACTCTCCTCCTGATCTCCGTAAAAACTCTCCTCCCAATCTCCGCAAAAACTGTGAAAAGACGCCGTGGGGAGTGAGCCGTGAGGCTGTTCCAGCAGCCTCCGGAGTGGCTCTTACACAAAGTACCGCCCCCCCCCCCCCCCCCCCCCCCCCCCCTGGAAGTCAGGCACGCAGTGCGCTGTTCACCGCTGTACGTTCGGGTTAATTTGTGAATCGCTATCAATAATACTCAGTTGCGCAAATTAAAAAAAAAAAGAATTCGTAAATTGATTGCGCAGAATAGCGCAATGCTGCAGGCACAGCTGGCTGAACTCGTAACAAGGGGACGTGTTCTTGATATCGCGATTGTTTCGTTTTTGTTGGAGGTGGAATGCTTTGGTTCTATTAAAAGTCGACCCCCCCCCCCCCCCTTCAGATCTTCAAGTACTGAAAAAAGGGTCAACCTACATTTGTGTAAATACAGTATGAAGGTTTGTGGAAATACTGATATAAGCCAAACAACAAATGCTGCTATTGATGAAGTGAGCCTGTAATAGAGCTGGGCTTCTTCTGGGTTGTAGGAGAATGAAAAAAACTACCCTAATAATTAAAATATGGCAACCAACCGATTCCTAAACATGTAGGGGCCCTACGTTTCGAACCGACTCGGTTCTTCGTCAGGGGCGACCGTGGCCGTTGAGGAGCGACGTTTTTCAATCTTCTTTTTCTTTTCTCAGGGATGTGGCGCATTTCTCGATCTTCTTCTTTCATGAATATGGCGAAGCCCGTTCACATACACTGTTGGTAAAGCACCAAGGCACCTATTTTGGACGCCAGGCAACATAAATAGGTGCCTTGGTGCTTTACCAACAGTGTATGTGAACGGGCTTCGCCATATTCATGAAAGAAGAAGATCGAGAAATGCGCCACATCCCTGAGAAAAGAAAAAGAAGATAGAAAAACGTCGCTCCTCAACGGCCATAGTCGCCCCTGACGAAGAACCGAGTCGGTTCGAAACGTAGGGCCCCTACATGTTTAGGAATTGGTTGGTTGCCATATTTTAATTATTGTATTCCCCGACCAGAGAGATTCCTCTCAAATGTTTAGTTTAAAAAAACTACCCGTTTCTTTGGTATATCCCAAAGGTGCTTGAAAGGCATAGCGTTTATTGGTTCTCTTTTCCTCGCTGCACACACTGCTCTTGCTCAAAGTGTAAGATACAGTGATCCCTCATTAACTTGGAACTTGACTATTTCGAAATGTCTGTTAACTCAAAATATTTTCTTGTCATGAAATGAACTCCCATACACACACAGAATGTCCATGGGAGTTTGCTCATAGCTTGTCTCAAATAGATTTCAGGACCGACTCGGATATCTCAAAATCCTAATAACAAATATTTTAACAAAATACAAAACAAAAAACAGGCAGGGCACAGTAAACGTTGAACTGGTGGCCCAAAACACTGGTTGATAAAGAAACAGCAATATAAAAACAAACACACAAAAAGTGTTAAAAAAACATTTAACAAATCGTGCATGATCGCACGCGCACAACAACACACGTGACAGCATGTGCCCTAAGGACGTTTCCTGTCTGGCTTTTTTTGCTGCCCGATACAGCTTGGCAGTCATGCGCTGTTTCTCTCCCTCGTGTTCAACGTTATCTTCTGCTCTTTGCCTTTTTCTTTCCTTTTTTTTTTATAAGAGGTGTGCAAAAATCAAAATCTTTCTAATCAAATTGAATAATAAAGGTTACGAATCAAATCGAATCTTTCGAATATGAATAGTAGTTTCGAATAAGAACATTTTTTAAAACAAATATTTTCTATTTGATGTGAATTAATGCTTGATCAAAACACAACTGGAGTTTTTTTCTTTTGACAAACATTTATGAAAAGGTTACTTTTATTGCAATAAAACAAATGTCACACATGTGACTGATAAGAAACTGATGAAATAAAAGATCAATCAGTAAAGGACCATCCAAGGAGTAAAGTTACAGAACGTAGATAAGAGTATTCAAGTGGAGGCAGGTCGGCAAGCCAGAACGCAGTCGGAGATTGCATTGCGGACGAACTCAACCACCTGAGCGTAAACAAAAGTGCACAAGCGGTGGTGGGTCAGTAAGCCACAGCACAAAGTCAAAGGTTACGTCATGCAGCTGCACTGACTTTGTGTGGTTTCTTTTTACACAAGTGAACGCAACCACGTGAACATAAGCGGAAGTACACCAGCAGAGGCGGTTCGGCAGGCCACAGCAGAGTTGGGGATGGTGCAATCGCGCCGTGCACCCGTACCGACTTTGCGCCATCTTTTTACATGTGCAATAGTTCTGTTGACAGAGGACGCCACGAAGAAGCAATAAACTAAGAATATGTTTTTTTTAATGTTTTTTATTTGGTAGAGGGAGCAAGTGTTACTTTTACCAGTGAAAGCGGGTAGAAATAGATAACAAAAGGAATACTGGCAAACTGATGAAACGGAGAATCAAGCGGAAAATTAACACAAGCCAGCTATCGCTGATAGCTGAGGTCATCCATAAATCTATATCCAAATCCATAGCACCTTGGCTACTGTCTTGGCTACCTTTCAGTGACTGTAGGAGGACTGTAGTGAGTGGGGTCCATCGCATTTGTGCTTACGACGATGCACATGCCGTTGCAAATCATACAAATCGTAGTCGTTCATCAAATCTATTGTAGTGTTTGTGCCACGACCACTTCGCCAACTCCGCAATCCAGACATCATGGCAAGCAAAGGACAGATCGTGCTACCGCGTGCAAATAACTTTCCAGTGCTTCATACAAAATAAAAAAAATGAAAAGCACTTAGGTTGGTTTTTCGTGTTTGCCAAGCTCGAAACCATACTGCGCAGTCCACAAACAAAACAGGGAACTCGACCGCGAGGTGACACTAATCAGCAAGTTCCGTGTTATTCGTAGTTTTCGAAGTATTCGAAGAACTCTTAATTCTTTGAACAGCGAAAGTGTGAAGCAAAGCGAATCGAAATAGCAAGCCTTATCCGTGAAGTATTCAAAGTTTTTAATATTCGCACACCCCTATTTT